CTGATTCGTATGCTAACGCTAAATTATATCGTATAGATTATTGCTAATTTTGCCTATATCGATATACATGTACAGTGACCGTCATATGTATTAACATGTGTAAATAAATATATTGATATACAAAAAGAGAAAAGTTTCTTTTTTGGAAATAAATCAATATTTCAGTAATGCGTTTTTTTTGACTGTTTGTTCGTTCAAAAGTAAATAATATAACATTTCTAAATTTTAAAACAATATACAATTCGAATAATATAAAATTATTAGTTTTTTATTTTATTTTAATAAACATATCGTTACATTAATATGGGTCATATCAGTATCGAACAAAGATCACGAATTTTTGCCCTTCTTTAAGAAGGATTCTCTTCCCGTTATATTCCATCAAAAGGAAATATTGCGCAATCTTCTGTTATCTGACTTAAAAAAAAAATAGAAACTATTGGTTCTGTAAAGAATTTACAAAAATCTGGTCGCCCACGATTTTTTATAGGTCGTAATGAACATAATATTATACGATATATTTTGAGTGGTGAATGTTCTAATGCTGTATCGATTCAAAAAAAATTACAAACTAAGAATAAAATAAATTAATGAAAGCGATAGTGCATGCTACTTGTGGCCTATGTACTCGTGATAAGGTTGATTATTTGGAGAAAGGATGGATAATCATTCCTCTTTTCCCTACGGATCGTAATTTATTTAAAGAAGTTAAGACTTGAAAGAATTATCACTAGTCGATTTCGCTTCACAAATTAATGTCTCAACTAGTAGATCTTTTGTTAAATTTCTTGTCGAGTTCCCTTCTGATTTTCTAATATTACTAGACACTGCCTGCCTTGCTGCCCGAGGTAAAGATGGGCAGAAATTTACTGCCCAGCCAATGAGTGATCATTAAACATTTGTAGATCTCAGGTGATACATCAAGTTGGGAAATGCTCAGCGGTGGAACATCAGAACAGTATATATAGGAGTAGTGTCCAGATAGCAGTTGGGATCATCGCTTGTTGTTGTTGCTTTCGGAACTAACCATGGATAACGCATCAAACTATTCCGGTTCGGATTCTCAAATGGTAGTAATTGACGGTAAAAATAAGAATTTTTATGATATCATCCGGTCTGTTAAAGGAAAGGAATTTACTAGGAATATTATGTTCTTCGAGTATCAATTGTATTTCAAATTTGATGGTGTTCAGTTTTGGATGGCCTTAAAAGAGTTTCTTCGGGTTTTAGGAAATAATAGTGTTTGTTGTATTCATACTCGCTTTGATGATAATAATAATGTATTCTTCATATCGGATACCGGGTTAAATGGAGAATTAAAGAAATTTATTAATGAATCTGAGCCTAAATTAACATATAAATCAGAGACAGAAATGCCTCTTGCTTTGTATTTCTATTTATTGGATATGTATATGTCTAAAAGTGACATTAATGTAGTTGGTATTGATTATATTGGGTCTAAATGGAAGGAGCCTGAAGTTATATTCTTCGAGTTAGTATACAAAGCTACTGGTGACATAGAAGAATTAATGGAACATTATATTGAAAGTGTTAGTAGGTTAACTATGGAGTATGTAAATACAATGGAAGTCACTCCTAGAGAATGGATAGTTGGTGTTGGTAATAATAGAGAGTTATTCTTTGGTGTCAGGTTTTCTTCGGATCATGTATTTGATGTAGAGAAGATATCTCCTATGGGTATTAGATTCATTAGAGATGATATTAGTTATCAATCTTTGAAATATATATGTATTCGTAATAGTCACGTATTTAGGAGATATATATTTTAGTTTGGTTTAATTAATAAATTATATTTATTATGTGGTTATCTTTTGTATCTAAAGTTATCTCGTGTTAATCTAAAGAAGCAATGGGTTAGGGTCAAGTAAAGGGTGTCCACTAACCAGAGTATATTAATTAAAAAAACCTAAATAAATGCTAATCAATCTTTCTTAGTAGAGTTTCAATTTAATAAGTTATTGTAACGCGTATAGCATACAAGTTGTAATGAAGCGTAATGCGTATAACAATATTTATTACAAATGTGCACAACGTAAGTTTAGTAAATTATGGTGTTATTGGAAATACACGACAGACATACTCAAAATAGCAAAGTGGGAGAACGTGGAGCGAAGCGGAATGGGCCACGTCACTATCCACCGTCTGTCACATATTGTATGTTGTTTCTAGGTTATAATTAGGTGAAATGTTAAAGATCGAGTATACTATACGTACAAATCTGCAATTTGGTCAGAATTTAACATCAAAGATATCTACCGGGTAGTCTAATCAGAGACACACGCCCTTTGAATCCTAGTTGAAGTCAATGTTAATCAATTGGTGGAGAATAAATATTGATCGAGTCATCTAGGGTTGGATTTAACCAGGATATAGAATCAATCAGGATTGATCAAGTTGCAGTTCACATGAATACATCACATGGAATCTAGATTATTGGCAGGCATAAGTGTCTATTTAATATTACTAGACACTGCCTGCCTTGCTGCCTGAGGTAAAGATGGGCAGAAATTTACTGCCCAGCCAATGAGTGATCATTAAATATTTGTAGATCTCAGGTGATCTCAAAAATGTATATATAGGAGTAGTGTCCAGATAGCAGTTGGGATCATCGCTTGTTGTTGTTGCTTTCGGAACTAACCATGGATAACGCATCAAACTATTCTGGTTCGGAATTTATAACTGTAGAGGATGAAGAAGAACAGCGCCTCGAAATTGAATCCATTTCTAGTGTTCACTCAAATCGGAGTAATGAAACCAGACGATTTCAGTTGTATAGTAAATCATTCTTTCTAACCTATCCTCGTTGTGATATTGAAACTGGGGTTATTTTGGAACATTTAAAGGGTCTTTTTAGTATGAATTTATTGGATAAATATATCATTTGTAAAGAAGAACACCAAGACGGTGAGGGTCATTTACATGCTTATATCGTATACTCAAGTGTAGTTAATGTAAACAATATCCGTGCTTTCGATTATGAGGGATATCATCCTAATATTCAATCCCCTAAAAATAAGCGAGCTATTATAAAATACATTATGAAACAGGGTGACTATATATCTAATTTAGGTTCGTTAGAGTATACATTAGATGATGTTGTTGATGATATAAATAAGGGTGTTCGTGAGTTGATTATAGCTACTAAGTATCCGGTGTTATATATTAGACATAGCACTGGAATTAAACAGTTAAGGAATGTCTTATCTAAACGAATTCGTATAAATCCAACGGTAGTTCTTCGGTATGGTGACAGTAGTACTGGGAAGAGTACTGATTGTTACAACAATGTTCTACCGGAACAGAGATACTATGAGTTAGCTACGGAAGATAAGGATGTTTGGTTTGATACATATGACGGAGAGGAAGTATTAATTCTTAATGATTTTTATGGTTCTTTAAAATATAGTTTTTTTCTTAAATTATGTCGTGGTGAGTTAGCTAAACTTCCTGTAAAGAGTTCATTTGTACCTAATAGAATAAGTAGAATAGAGATAAGTAGTAATTATCACTATAACACTTGGTGGGATTCTTCTAAAATTCGTAGTTATAATCAATTAGCTTTAGATAAGAGATTTAATTTAGTATATAGATATGAGATAGATAATAATGGAGATGTACATGTAACAAATGAGAGATGTGAATTCGATGATAATCAACTACCAGAAAAAAAGTATATTAAAACCTAAATAAATAACTACATATCTATGTCAATTGTGCTTGAGAGGATTATTGTAACGTGTATACAATACAAGTTGTAACGAAATGTAACAACGTGTGCCAAAGATTTAGGGTTAGGGTACAGTGTGGGAGTACACTAACCAGACTATTAAAAATAGGGTGTATGTAAATGAGGGGGAACGTGTAGTATATGAAATATACGAAATGGGCCGAATGAATACTCAAAGATATCTACCGGGTAGTTTAATCAGAGACACACGCCCTTTGAATCCTAGTTGAAGTCAATGTTAATCAATTGGTGGAGAATAAATATTGATCGAG